CTAGGGCAGCTCTTTACTTTTCCTTGGAAAAACAAGAGCTGTCCTGGGTGTAGTTAATTTGTTTGTTGTGCCTTTGCCTTCCTACCTCATAGTTTTCACATGCGTTGGCAATACCGTACGTCGTCCAACTTCGCATGCGTTTGGATTGTTGCGCTTCTTGCACGGTACGATGCGCGATCGAACCAGCGAGAAAACTCTCGTCAATCTCTTGCCTGCAGTCACAGTGCTTGACCGAGGATGTACATCTTTCTGATCTTCTTGGTTCAAAGATGTAAGTTGTAAATATAAGGGCCATATAGGATGGTGGCTCGTGCAGATGCAGTCATTGTGTGCTCTCTCCCGCTAATGCTCTGCATTCGCCTATTATACTAGATTCATATTCATATTAAAAGTGCAAAACGTATTTATACAGATTGTAAACTGGCTGAAAGTAAAACGACTATAGAGAGAAAAATAAATATAGGGAATGTGCTAGAATTAAAGGAGATAAAGGACCCGCCCCTCGGCGCAGGCCAGATCCATGTTGTCAGCCAAGGCATTACAGTGAGCAGGGCGATGGAGGGTGGATCTTGATCCACGAAGGTACATGATGGAAGATTGCAGCAGGGAGAAGTTCAGGTGGCATCTGATCCAATACATAACCATGCAATAGGGCTTGTTGTTTTTCTCGGCCAACTTGCAGCAATCCTCTTGTGCACCACAGTGGCAATGTTTCACATCCCTCTGCATGTTGAGAAAACCAATGGAGAGAAAGACCCATGTTCCACCTCGCGCACTCTCTCATCATATTCTCTTCTTTTCTCCATTTCATTGTGACAGTAGCATTGGGCTAGGGAGGAGTTGAGGTATATAGCTTTGTGCGAAAGGATTGAAAACCCGCAGCTATATATATACATTCAAAATGCACGTTGCTGATCCCGTCCCCAGACACTCTCAGCCAGAATGTCCAACCTTGCCTATATACTAGAGGAATGCTTAGTCTTGCGGAGCCAAGCCTTCTTGGGAGAGGAGAATGCCTGGTGCACTGTCGTTATGACTTTGACGATAAAAATACCAAACAATAATATTATAGAATAATCAAAATTCATAATACATAAGTGTGTATATAACTACCTGAAAGGCACGTAATATGTTCTTAAAACAAGTTTGTGTGTAATTATACTTTACTTTTTTGTGTCTCACACTTTACTTTTATTCGTCATGTCTTAGAAATGAAAAAAAACCAAGTCGTTATCATGAACCGTAATATCGTAACCTTGCATTATAGGGCGGGGTGTATACATGCAGTTGTCCAGGGCTCAAAAGCAAGGGGGAGGAAAGAGACCGCAACAGCGCAGCAAGCGGGGGAATGAGCTGACACCTTTCTATGGTCCCCAACAAAGAGGGCATGGTTAGTAGATGATGCACATCCTTGAAGGGTGAGGGGTTGAAGGGAGGAAATGACAGTCACATCCATAGCAGCAGGTTGACCCTGTTCCCAATTTGGAGGAGGATTTCAGCGGGGCGGCTCCAGGATCCGGTGAGGAGGGAAAGAACCCCCTTTCGCGGAGCCAACACAGTGGAGCGGGCAGCATGCAAAATAGAGTCACATATGCCTAAGGATTCTATCACCATTCCCTCCGCAATCGACCTGATGGCCACCAAAGGGGAACTCAGCATTTCACCCTCTCCTAAAAAATTGGGACCCCCAACCAATATTTAAGTCTATCCTGAAACTAACGATCCATGAAGTGAAGGCCGAGGGAAGATGAGGGAACAGCGTTCAGCCATGAATCACCAGCATTGGGGAGAGAACACCATTGGGCAAGGGCCACAGAATGGGTAGGGGCAGAGGAGAGACATCCTCCCATATCCCCCAGTTCCCAAAGCCAATGTCCGATTGTCCTTTGTCCTCCCCTATATACTCCAAGAAGAACCCAATACTTGCTGCACCATCCCCTACCCACTGATTGAGGCAGGCTGGAAGCTATTGACAAAGGATTGGAGCCAGGAACAGCATCACCTTTTAGCTTCCACAAAGGATAGCTGGGAAACTGACATTCCTTCATCCACTTTCATCCTATTGAAGGGGGTTGTGGAGCTTACTAATCAGAGAGTTGGTATAGACACTCTATGTGTGGATGCTGACTGTGCCAGGCCTGAACCAAGACACACCTTCGTCTTGGCTGAGAGATGAACACTCTGAAGTGATAACTATGCAACTTTACTAGTTGGTCATAGTTTACCATGAAACATTGTTTGTCTTAAAAGGAGTTCGTCTCAGCGGTAAGACTTTCCACCTTAACTGAGCTCTGAACAGTGGGACAGGCAGCTTTTGTATTGTTTCTTGTAGTAGTGTGTCTTTGGCAACAGGGATTCAATTATCCATGGAACGAAAGACAGACGTTAGGTAGATATAATATATAGCTACAGATTGCCTAAGTGATCAACTCTCCTCTATAAACACTCTCTGATATCGAAACACTCTAAATTGCAGTCATTTTCACTAACAGCTGTGATAGCCATAGACACTGTGACTGCAGGCAGTGAGGGAAAGTTAAAAAGTTACGGTTGTTTGTTATCAGGAGGGTCAGTGTATGTTACAGTATCACATGATTGGAAAAAACTCCTCGAAACCTTGCAAGAACACCAAGATATGCAACTCATGACCACGTGGCATAGCTCATGAGTGATTTCGTTCACCACTCACTATATAATCGTCAAACTCATTGTGCGGCATATCAACTATATAACCTGTGATCACCTTACTATTATAGCTAGCTAGCTAGCCCCTGTATTATCACCTGGTTGCTCATGCATGCGGAGCTCATTTTTGAGATGGCTAGCTATACTCCGTAACTCCGTGAGAATATTGTAGTTTTAAGCCTGCGACATGTTGCATCAGACCAAGGCATTCTAGCAACTACAAAGTGTAAGAAAGAAAGGCCAACAGAGGTAATTGCTCCTCTGTTGGCCTTTCTTTCTTACACTTTGTAGTTGCTAGTTGCTAGAATGCCTTGGTCTGATGCAACATGTCGCAGGCTTAAAACTACAGCAGAGGTAAACCTATCCACAGGTCCAGCAACATGCAGGTGCAGTGCTAAGCTCTTTGTTACTGGTCATCAGGGGAGAAGGTTCCATATCTTTCACCATGTCATACGTGTTTCGGCCTCTTTAAACTCCCGACACGTGAGACACTCCAGAAAGGGTGAAGCCACTCCACCTGGTTGGAGTCCGGAGTTTCCTACGAGACTCGTTTCCTACTAGCTACATGGCTAAAATTATTGTACTTACAAACAAACCTACGTTACAATAACGTAGCACTTGCTTCATTTCTTTGGTCTTCTCTGTTCTTCACTTTCTTTCTTCACTCTTGCTCCTAACTGAGCTACTACTGGCAAGCTTGTACTTAGTTGTGGATGTTATGTCTACTAAAGTCAAAACTTCCCATGTTGTTAATTAGTGTGTGTGTGTGTCTGTCTGTCTGGAGCTTTTCTGGCACTATACAAGCTACGAAGAGGCCTGTCACAGAATATTTGGACCCCCGAAATAGTCGTTCCGCGGGAACGAATATTACAAGGCTATGCATATTTATTATCCCCCCTGAAATGCGGGTTCCCCGTACACACCTGCCGTCAGCCGTACCTACGGCTGTATATAATACCGGGAAGAATGACACTCTTGTTGACGCTTTTCTGTCGGAAAGAGGCTTGTACCAGGATGAGTCGCACGCTTCTCTGTCGCAAGAATGACGTCGTACCTGGAAGATTCGCGCTCTCATTCGCGCTTCAATGTCTGAAGGGTTGTATACCAGAAACAGTCTACTGCACAAGTACAAAAGCACTCGCTTGACTGCAGGCAGCGACATATCATTGTTTCATGTCAACTGTGTAACTGTACCTCAACAAACAATAGGTTCTAGTGCTAAATGGTTTGGTAGAAAGTGTAACTGGGATTTCTCTTATTGGCAAACCGTCGGCGAACTGCGCATGCGCGATACTACAAAATTGATGGGCTGGGCCGGCTATTTGTAGGCGTTTACTCGTGGTCTTCCGCTAGTAGCCCGCGGAGAGTCAGACACGGGCTAGCTCAGTAGTAGATAGCATGCGGAAGTCGATAGCTATACATGCCATTCGTTGTGACTTCCTGCGCCCCCAAGGTACACAGAGCGAGCGGATCAGGTCGCGGAAAGCCAGTGCGATTTGGCTTTTTCGCTTGTTTTCACGGCATATCTCTCGAACGAAGTCGTTTCAGGAAAATCGCCTAATACATTTTCAGCCTCCCGTAGTTCTGAACCCGCTGGTATCGCTAATGGGCCGCCTCGTAGCCAGAATAAGCGTCGACACACAGACAGACAGACAGACGGGCAGACAAACCAACTACCGTAACCCTCGCTGCGCATGCGCGCCGAGGGTTAATTACGCTATACGCCGGCGTATTGCTGTGCGCGTGGTACGGTACGTCTCGCACGGCCTCTTAGCGGTCATATCACTCTTACAGAATGACTGAACGTTGTGCGCACATGCACTGCCGCGCCGCAGTTGAGCGAGGCGTTCCGACTATTTCAGGGGGGGGGGGGGGCAAATATTTCTGGATTATAAGTGTCGGGGGTCCGAATATTTGGACCGGGGGGAACTAGAATAGGGCTTCAATTTTTTCGTGACAGGCCCATGAGTAATTACCAACGGCTTCAAAACTACGCGAACCTGATTAGCGATACCACGCATGCGTATAGTGCCGAGCAAAAGTAAGGAAGTCCATCAAGAATGTGCGTCGGTGATGATCTGTTCACATGACATCCGTTACGCCCATGCACTGTTTATCTGCAGCTATGAGGACGGTATACCGCAGCAGGGGGACAACTAAAGGCTCACTACCTGTCGCAGTAATAGTCCTTGCACTTATTTCATGCAATGCAGCAGAAGGTGAGTTACAGCTACCTAAACTGGCTAGGCTGGCAACTAAGATAAATTCTGCAGATTCAAGTTGTTCACACAAGTACACGAAGCATCTGAATTACTTTCCACAATGTAGCCCTTATATCCTTCGTGTAATGAAGGTAGAATGTACAGTGGAGGTTCCTGTCAATGCTACCGACATCACTATTGGTTGGTTCATGGACTGCCAGCAGTTGAGTAATGACTCTCACGTCACCATCGAGTCTCAAGTCCAAGTGACAGTAGAAGTTCGCAGAATTAGGTATCGATTGACAATCAATGGTATAACTGATGAATATGCTGGTAAATACACATGTAACATGCTGGGAGACGAGGAGTATGTCCCTGGTAATCAGTTGGAGTTAGGAGACTCGGATAAACTTGAGTTAATGTCTAGTCTCGGACCATGTATAGATGGAGAACTCTTCAGTGGTGCACCACCTCCAGAGAAATGTGCAGTAATTACAGCGGACAACCCTGTACCCATGTCTCTTGTCTGTGAAGATCCACCTGCAAACCCAACATCAACCTCGACACCTGTTCCTTCACTCTCCTCCTCTTTGTCTATATACCTCTACTATGCTCTCCTCAATACCAAAAATTTATGTGCATCACTCTACAGTATTGCTTTCACCATCACCCACTACATCTGGACCAACTCCCACAGATCCTCAGGACAACAATATTGAATTTACTTCCCATGATTCTCTGAACACTCTCTCACTCTTCCTCATAGCAGTGAGCTCTCTACTGACCATTATTATACTACTACTGCTGTCTTCATTTGTGCTGGTAAAGTGGTGTAAGGGACGGAAACAGAATGGAACTGTGAACATGTGCTGTAAGTTCAGATGGGCACGATAGCTAAACAAACAATATTATGTCAAAAACAATGTTAGTCATGCCACTGTGTCAGCATGTTTTGTTGCTCACTCCACAATTCATAGTGCATGCCACATATATAGCTACTTCACCCACTTTCAATCTCATCATAACTATAGTCAATATCATCCAAAATTGATTGAATAGTTATTACCTATACAAAATGCAGTTCAGGCACCAGCACCAACAACAGAGGAGCCATTCTATGACAGTGTGAAGGATAGGCCAGAAGCCAACAACAGTATACCAAGCTCTGCAGTACCAAGCCAATCAAATCCGGCCTATGGAATCAGTGTGTTTTGTGCACATTCCACAAATACTTATAAAATACTAGCCTAACCCCCAGAGATATAATATGGTTCCCCACTCATGAAATCATCCTCATTACTTTGATGTTAGTCTGGGAAGAATCAAATAAACAATTGTGGTATTAGTACTTTAAACATTGCTGTTGGTGTTTGTGTTTTTGATTAAGTGAAACAGGGTAGGAAATTCTCACCTGCTTGACTACATGATTGTTCTACCTTTCATATTACAGGGGCTGAAGCAGGTGACAAGGATAATATATTTCAAATGAGGATCAATTCTGGATATGGTGTTATGGGACACATTATCAGTTCTACTCAGCTATCAACGGACTCTGTTGTACCTGAGAACCTAAGCAGTAGTAAGTAAATTCCTAATTAGGAAAATACCAAGATGCCCTATTATTACAAGTGGAAAAACCATTTCAAGGGCGATGTAGGGATGGCAGTTCATGAAAAACGAGGGAAACAAAGGGACTAGGGAAGTCAATAAGCCCATCCATACATGTTTGTCGACTACCTTGTTTTGTATATTTTGGGACAGTATAACAAAGGGAAAAAAACTTTGTAGCTACTTGGACAAAGATGTAGGGATTGGGTTATTATGATTAACCTCCCTAGTGTCTTGTTTCCCTAGTTTTTCATGAACTGCAATCCCTATAATTATACATCCTGTTCATTTCAAATAAATGATTTTTAATTTTCCCCTTGTTTTACCAATTTTTACCAATCTTTACGAATATCCATAGCTACAGCAGAGTAGCCAAGAGGGCAGGGGTGCCATTCTGTCTAGCAACAAAGTACAGTCTACCCAGCTGCACCTACAAGAATTCTGTTCACAGCTGGGGACACTAATGCTATGTATATTTTATAGCGACAGCTGCGTTCGTGGAGATGTCGACGTACAGCACGGGGCAAGCCCGGGGAATATGATCCTGCCGCTGTAGGGGTTGCTACATACCATGCATGCCGCTGTGGCTGGAAAAATCTTCGGCTGAGCTGCAACAGCATCCCTTTCGCAGACCAGTGCGCGTGCGCAATGTGGCAGCCTAGACTACGCCTTCTGGCTTCAACGTGCTGAGTTAGAAGTATAAATTGCGCCGTTAGCTGTGTATAGCTATACGATTCTGGTAGCTTTTGTTTGCCGGAAAACAGGTATCCCTTGCGAAAAGGATCGTACTCCGTCGAATGTGTGACCGATTGGCGTGAGTTTTATGCTCCTTACCCTCACCAGTAAAGCTGTAGCTAGGTCAGTTTATGACGACAAATGTTAAATCGCGTGTGTGCAAATTCTCGTGCGATGATTACAGGGTACGCTGTGGACAGCTGGGCATAATGTATCGGTAGAGAAAGAACCGCAAGGAAAGAAGGAAGGCTTGGAAGGCCCTGTAGCTGGTACATATGGAGTCTACCTACGCTCTGATACTGAGCAAGGGAGCTGATTAATAACCAATGGGAAATGGCAGTGCCTACGTTGGATTTGCATCAGATGGTAGCTAGCTACTGGGATTAAACTAAGAGCGCAACGTAGTAGCATGTGTGTACAAGTCATCGTATTGGAAATGATTGCAGCTAGATAGGTCAATCCTGGCCTGCATCAGGAGAGAAAGCTCACAATGGTTCTGTCTTTGCTCTTACTAATAAAAGCACTAAAGTGCAAACCCTCGGCGAACTGCGCATGTGCGGTACCGCTAATTGATGGGCTGGGCTTTTTATGCCTTTACTCGTGGTATCCCGCTAGTAGCTCGCGGAGAGTCTGGCACGGGCTAGCTACAGGTAGTAACTAGCATGCGGGAGTCGATACATGCCCTTCGTTGTGACTTCTTGTGCCTTCAAGACACACAGAGCGAACGGACGCGGTCGGGGTAAGCCTGTTGCTAATTTACATATTGGCTTGTTGACTTGGTTTTCACGCCATAACTTTAGAACACAGTAGTTTTACGAATTGAAAATCAACCCAGTGTAGCACTGAACCCGATCATATCGCTAGTTACCTGATTTCGTGCGCACGGTGGCAGAAACGTGGTAACAGGACAGACAGACAGACAGACACACTTACGACAACTACCGTAACCTCGCTGACGCATGCGCTCCGAGGGTTAATAATATCCCTTTAGTGTGGGTGCAGACTGCTTTCTGAAAGCACTAACGGCCAAAACCTCGGCGACTGCGCTACCGCTCAATGGAGTGTTTCCCGTGCGTCTCCACGCTAGCTCGCGGAAGAGTCTGACACGGCTAGTAGCTACACTAGTAAGATAGCATGCGGGAGTGGATACATGCCATTAGTTGTGGAAAACTACTTGAGCCTCCAATGGTACACAAGCGAGCAGATTTAGTGTGAAGCCAGGACTAGATAAGCACATTATGCTTGTCGCTTGTTTTCACTGCACATCTCTCGCACGCAGTGTTTCAGGAAAATCGCCTACAAGTTTTCAGCTCGCGCCTTAGCTCTGAAGACGTTGGTATCGCTCACGGCGGCCGCGTGGCTGTAGTGCGAAAGGAGAGCTGCTGACAGGCAGGCAGACACACGCCAGAACGACTACCGTACGTCGCCGCGTATGCGCTCGAGGGTTAATAAAGTGATGTGTGTAGTCCACCACTTGAGGGAGTCGATACACGCATTCGGTGTTCCTCTTGTGCTCCAGGTACTTACACAGAGTCAGAGCGAGGGATCAGGTCGAGGTACGTCAGCAGCGCGATTATGCTATTGGGCTTTTCGCTTGTTTTCACCGGCATATCGCTATATCGCTCGAACGCAGTCGTTTCAAGACAATCGCCTTCCTTTTTGTCAGGCTCGCGTAGTTCTGTTCCGCGGTATCGCTAATAGAAAGCCTTGTACAAGAATTAAGCGTCGAACAGTACTGAAACCCTCGCTGCGCATGCGCGCCGAGGGCTCTCGGCGGCGTTGTCTATACCACACTATGTGTATGCAATGTTTTGTCACAGCGAGTGTGACTCTAGGACCAATTAACATGTTTAGAAGACCCAGACTGGGCTTATACAGCAGGCCTGAAAATCAGTGACTAAAACCGCGGAAAATGAATATCAGGGAACGACAGAAAACCATCATCGTCTCATCAAATCACAAGACAACCCTATTGCACCACACCACTGAAAAAATGAAATGACATGAAATGAAGGAAATTGCACGAAGGACTGATCACACATGCCCCAGAACCACCCATGCATGCATCAATCCATACCCACACCAATCAATTCCCCCCTGCAGCATGATCACGGCGGAGGACATCATATAATTAGCTCCAGACGGAGAAATCACCGTCACGAATGTAAGGCTCGAGTATCAGAAGTATCCTTGAAAAGGTCGGAGATACTAGTTAGACCGGGAACAAGGCGCTGTTAGCTATGCGTGCGTGTGCGCGCGTTGCTCTGAAGGATGAAGGAAAAAAAGGCTCTCTGAAAATGTTGTGCGAGGCTAGCGTTTAATCTGCGCTAACCCAGAACTTGCTATGAGTTGGCATCATTATAGGGGTAGCTGTCCACAGGACAACGACGAATGAAGCCACACTGAGCTCAGTGTCTACGCATGCTCGATGCATACGCATGAACGCGCGCACCAGTGTAGGCGCGGAGGATCGGTAAATTACCTGCGGTTGGTGCAGTTGGAATAGCTACCCGCTCAGCTGGCTATACTTATCGTTTAGATTTATCTTTCGCTAAAACTAGCGTTAGTTTCGCTGCACTCTACACTCGTCTTCCATTGATGGCATGCCTCCGCAGTGCACAAACAGCAACAAAATCCGGTGGAGGTGAGCCAATCACAATAGCATATTGGCTTGTTAGCTTTGTTTTCACGCCATAACTGTCGAACGATTTGCTTTTACGAAAATGGGCAAATTTAAAATCAAGCGGTGTAGAACCTTGAACCTTGTCTCGTTGCGCGTGGTGGCAGAAACGTAGTAACGCGACAGACAGACAGACACACTTACGGACCGAGAACAGTCAAAGGTTCAAAGGTTCAAAGGTTCAAAGGTTATTATTGCATACGCCAGTAAAGGCAGCACAACACCAAAAAAAATAAATAGGACAGAAATAAAACTAGGCTAGGAACCACGACTGTTTTGAGATAGAAGTAATTTGTGAACTTCGATTAGCAACCAGTAAAATGTCTCTTGTTGATGCTGATGTTAACAATGTAATGATGTCCTCTTCCCTTAGTTGTAGATGGATTTCTAGTAGATGTGGGAGCAGGTGGGTATTGCTTTCCCTCACAGACTGGGCACACCGAAATGTTGCCTACTTTGGGCATGTTATCAGCTTTGTACAAGGATTGCAACCTAACAGTTCCTGAACTCCCTTATCAAGCATTGCATCCCATAACTTTAACCACCTTACTTCATTTGCAATTCGGGTTGCAATTCTAGTGCTATCTCTTTTGTGTCCCTTCTCCAAGGTATTTGCCAGTCTTGTTTCATGATTTCGTTGGAAAGGGCTTTTCTTTCACCATCAAATTCTCCAGAGAGCACTTTCTCTGTGTATGAGTCCAGTCCAGTGTGCTCCTCTAGGAATTTACACTCGTGTATGAGGGAGAGGTGCAGTGGATCAGAGGAATTGTAAAACTTTGATGCAATTGATTCTGTAGAGTCCATTAACTTCAAACAGAGAATAAAGTTAAGCTTCCTTGATAAGATTCTTGCAGCAACTGAGGGCCACCGCAGAGCAATTCTGGAGGAATAAGTAGAGTGATATGGAGTGAGCTTGAGAATTCTTCTCCCAATCTCTCCTTGGAAAGATTCCAGCTGGCAGATAAGGGTTGAGGTTAGTTGCCAGTTTTCACAGCCGTACAATAGTATGGGTACAACACATACCTCAAAGAGAGACCTTCCACTTAGCGGGTTAAGATTTCCTTCAAATACCTGTGAGCGATGCATAAAGAAGGCTCTTCTAGATTTTGCAATAGCTTCATCAATGGCTTTCTTTGCAGACAGGTCCCATGACAACCAATATCCTAAGCACTTCACTTCCTTGCTAGCAAAAATATCTTGTCCATCGATATTTGTCATCATTGAGTTGGAGCATTGTTGAGTGTGGCTACCTGAGGTAAGCACTTCACATTTCTGCACATTGAGACTGAGCCCACTGGAGTGTGCGAAGTTTTTCACCAATTGCACTTGCTTTTCCATACATTTCTTGCTACTGGTCAAGGTCCTGATGTCATCAGCATGGGCAGATATGCCGAGATCTGCTAACTCCATTTGGTTGAGGAGTGGGTCCATGATGACCTGAAACAACAGTGGTCATAAAACTGAGCCCTGTCTGACACCTCTTCCCAGGGAGAAAGCAGCTGAAAACTCCCTACCAACCTTCACCATGCCCTGTGGTGATTGGTACCATGCACGAACGAGTCTCCAGAGCTTGGCATTATTACCAGCATCAAAGAGACGACACAGTAGGACACCATACTCAACTGAGTCAAACGCCTTTTGTAGATCATAACAACATAGGTAAGTTGTCTCAGACTGGTGAAGGTAGTGTGAAAGCATTTCGGTGGTGGTGAAAATGGCATCAGTGCAGGAAACATGCTTGCGATACCCAGTTTGATTGATATTTGGAACATTCAGATCTTCGAATACTGGAAGTAACCTGCCAAGTATGAGCGTCTCCAGTAGGTTGCGACAGCACCGGTTCACAGAAATTCCTCTGCTAGATACTCTCTCTAGAGGATCTTTGCCACCACCTTATACATAGGGCTGATGATTGCCTGCAATTATTTAAGCGTTGTGGACTTTCTCTCGCTGATAATTGCTTTGAAAATTTGCAGTAGCCAAATTGAAAGACGTGCGCCACCATATTTACAGGTGTTCTGTGTTATACGCTAAGTCGGCTGCCTCTCTTAGGCTTTCAATTTTCTGAAGCAGATTCTAGTTCATCCATTGAGAACAGGAATTCCAGAGAAACCTCTTCTTCATTCCATCAGTCGCTCCTAGTCAGCGTTGCTCTATCATTTGAGCTTTTACAGTATAGTTTTCATCCCTCGCTTTTCCAGCATTTCCAAAAGGACCCTCCAAGCCTGAAGCACAGCAGGTGAGGACAGAGGACAACGTCAACAGGACACAAGAATTTGTGATCCGCATGTTGGCATTACGAGTTCTAAAAACAAAAAATTTTTTTTCGGGATGGAAATGTTTCTGACTCACGATCGCATTTCTCAATTCCTTTCTCTCATTCATTTGCTTTGTGAATTATTTTTATTCGTCCTTAATTCATTGGCGCCCTTTAGACCCTCTTACGCTCAGTCACCTTCGCTGCACAATTGGCGCCGAGGGTAAAAATAATTATGTCTTTCCATTCCACAGGAGCTGCAGCAGACATTGAAAGATGTATTTCACATGAATATCAACATGGGTTATGGTGTTATGGGACATAGTGACTCAGCTCAGACTTCTACTACCACAGATGTTGTATAGTTACCCACTATAGCAGTGGCAGTGTAACGTTAAGAGAGATTTACTCACTGCAGTTTGTGTATGCGTTTTGCTGATATTTTCCCTTTCTTGTATGCTACTTATATTCTGCTACTGTAGGTCACACATGGAAATTTACCTCAAACTGTCATTAAAACTTCCCTTGGTAGCTATGTAGGTGCAGAGCTACATAGTAATTGACTTGTAGCTAGTACACATTCATTCCTACTTCGTATTAATGAATCTTAAAGATATTATTGTTGCTTTTCTGTTCTTAGTACTACTGGTGATGTACATTATGTGTTAGATCAGAAATGGATATTTGTCAAGATGCACTGTAGTCACACAGTAATTGTAGCTATTGTTATGAATTACAAGTAAATTAAAAATCCTGCGAATTAAAAGAGGCATGTATATAGGGATGGTAAGATAGGGATGTGATACATGAAGCATGGTTAACGAACAGATTTGAGCATGCTGACACCCACGACCCCACGACACAATCCCTTGTTGCCGAGATGAAGTATTAAACTACAATAGTCGGGACATACAGCTTGAAAATAGTCATGCTCGGTGCTCTATGTAGGATGGCTCTCTCTGTCTTGGTGTAGGGATCTTCTTGTTCCCTTTCTTTTTCATGATGTGACATCCCTACATCCCCTTTCATTGCATAGAAATGATTTTTCCACTTGTACTAAGTACGGTAAATCACAAAGACAGCCTCCTTGTGGAGGACTGGGGTATATAAAAGACTGGTAATTGGATATTTGTAGTATTTGTTCGCTATAGGGCTTATTTTGAGTTGCTGTATTTATAGCTAGCTGCTAGGTTTTATTTAGTACTGCTCTTTCTGTAGTGACTTATATTTAGTCGAGCCTACATGTCTGCTGATTTCACCCCGTCTCTTCCTCTGACCTTCATAATCCCCTCTGCTTCTAGATCTTTCTTTAATTTTCTTTCGTGTATCATCCCTATATAAAGTCTATGCATTTGCACAGTTCAAGCTAAGTTTTGCCAAGAGAATCAAGTATGGGGCAGCAAGCGCCAACCGCTCGGGCGTAATCCTTCTGAGCAGTTGGCGCTTGCTGTCCTGTAAGGCACCATCATCAGTGAACTGACCTCCCAGTATAGGATACAACCACTCTACTTCACCTCATTGGCTACAAATTTGGTTTGTTTTAGTTGTAGACTTGTGAATAAGCATGTTTAGGAACATGTTATAGCCCTTTTTACCAAGAGAACTAACCAGACCATCAGTATTATGTGGTTGTAATACACCAAAAGTGGCAGTATTACACAAAAAGCCCTCTTTTATAAACTCCTGTAGCTACTCTCAGTACAGAGCACTCAGAGAAGCGTCCCTAATACTCTATAGATTATAGTCCATGTAGCAGCACTAAGTGGTACCTGGGAACAATTGCGAGTAGCTAAGCAGCAAAAATTTATATACAAACCTTTCTGAGGTGTAAGATGGCTCAAGGCCAAAATTATTAGAATCTGCGTGAAGAAAGAGAACTGTTATCAAGTAAAGTATAGAGGTCAAACTTACTTGGAGCTTTGTTAGATCTCGTCAGGATGAATAATTATTACCATTGCCCCAATTACTACTGCAGCAGTCACAGTCACCACTCCCACCGCACCACCAAGAGCAGCTACCACCACCACAGGTTATGGTGACGATTGTCGTTGTTGTTGTGGTAGTGGTGGTGGAGGTGATGACGAAGACGATGACAAAGCCCCTTATTTTTTCTATGTCTTTCAGGAAAACAATTGCTCAAAACTTACTATGGCGGTATAGTGTATGGCTCACTGATGTAAACAGCATTGTCAGCTAGGCAAATATGGATATATATATTTAGCAGATGTTAGTCTTAGTTTGGTGGCAAAATTCATCTGCACTGCTTTGTGCAACACCCGACACTGATACACTGTAAGTTTTAAGTGAGACAATGACTCTCTCACTGCAGGTGCTTCCCCTCCAAGCGATGTGAGAGGTGTTCAGTAAAGGTTTCACTGGAACTAGCAGTCGTCCCAGTGTCAGGGTTGATGGTGGAACCAGTAACAGTGTCACTCTAGGCGATCTTGAGAGTGGAGGGACTTATAATAATTATATCTGTTGTAGCTACTTTGTCCGGTGGTCTTCCCAGTGAATCGGTCCAGGCTGCAGCTGTTGGTTTGGGTGAGTCATAATTTTACATATAGCCACAGTTCCTTGGTTGGTGGGAGTGGTTGGTTTTAGCAATATTATACTTCACGCAAGAGCTTCAAATTTTAGGGTGTTTGGGAACAGTGAATCCATACTGTTTAGCATGAAATGCTTAAATTTTGTAATTATAAATTATAGCTACTTAGCTAGAAAAATAATGCACTCCCAAACAGTAGAAAGTTAGTTTTCTTTTGTGCATTAGGATACAAGTTACTGTGTTAATCATGATGTAATGATTACATCATTACTGATTCTAAGGGGTTCCGATATCCTCGTCCCCTGAGTGAGCCTCTGTCGCGACCTCCTATATAGTGAGATTGAGATGATGATGATGATGATCAGCAGTGCCCTCTGGTCGTGTGACCATTGCATCATGTCATGTGACCATCATGTGACTCTTACTTCCCTGTGCTTCATTATCACATCATGCAGTAAAGAGTTTTTAACTGAGTGTGTGGTATTTTTGTAAGAATAATGGAAAGTTAACAATAAAAAAATTGTGCTTATGCTAATATCAAACCATTAATTTAATGATCGCAGTCCACGGCCCATTGATAATTAACCATGTAGAAAATACCATATGATGCCAAGAGAAAAAAGATTCAGAGCTCTGGACAGCTGTTTGGGCTTGTTGGCCCTCATCAGCAGAGCATACCCCAACTTCTCTCTCTAGCATCATGAGTTTATAAAGGCTGCCATGAGCACAGCACTTGTGGTTCTGAACTATATAATGAGATTCATCCCCACAAGGCTTTGCCACTGGTATGCGCTGACCCTGCCCAGACCTTCGTGGTTTGGAGCCTAGGCCCCTCCCCACTCCTGCTGGTCAAGGTCAGCACCGAGCCAAAACCCGAATTCAAAATAGCATAAGATCGAGTACTTGTGCAATTATAATATTTATGTTTCTGTTTCTCTTCGAGGTGTTTTCGTAGTTTGTGATTCTCTTTCTTGAGATCCTCAGTGGTCTGTCACAGTTCCTGCTTCTCTTTCCTGAAGTCTTCTCGCAGTTCCCGATTGTCTTTCCTCAGTGGTTTGTCGCAGTCCGTATTCTCTTCTTGATGTCCTCAGTGGTCTGTCGCAGTTCCCTGATTCTCTTTCTTGATGTCCTCAGTGGTCTGTTGCAGTTCCCTATTCTCTTTCTGATGTCCTCAGTGGTCTTGGCAGTTCCCTATTCTTTCTTGACGTCCTCAGTGGTCTGACGCAGTTCCCTATTCTCTTTCTTGGCGTCCTCAGTGGTCTGTTGCAGTTCCCTATTCTCTTTCTTGACGTCCTCAGTGGTCTGTTGCAGTTCCCTATTCTCTTTCTTGACGTCCTCAGTGGTCTGTCGCAGTTCCCTATTCTCTTTCTTGATGTCCTCAGTGGTCTGTTGCAGTTCCCTATTCTCTTTCTTGACGTCCTCAGTGGTCTGGCGCAGTTCCCTATTCTCTTTCTTGACGTCCTCAGTGGTCTGTCGCAGTTCCCTATTCTCTTCTTGACGTCCTCAGTGGTCGTTGCAGTTCCCTATTCTCTTTTGATGTCCTCAGTGGTCTGTCGCAGTTCCCTATTCTCTTTCTTGACGTCCTCAGTGGTCTGTTGCAGTTCCCTTATCTCTTTCTTGACGTCCTGTGGTCTGTCGCAGTTCCCTATTCTCTTTCTTGATGTCCTCAGTGGTCTGTCGCAGTTCCCTATTCTCTTACTTGATGTCCTCAGTGGTCTGTCGCAGTTCCCTATTCTCTTTCTTGACGTCCTCAGTGGTCTGTCGCAGTTCCCTATTCTCTTTCTTGACGTCCTCAGTGGTCTGTCGCAGTTCCCTATTCTCTTTCTTGATGTCCTCAGTGGTCTGTCGCAGTTCCCTATTCTCTTTCTTGACGTCCTCAGTGGTCTGTCGCAGTTCCCGATTGTCTTTCTTAAGGTCCTCAGTGGTCTGTTGCAGTTCCCTATTCTCTTTCTTGACGTCCTCAGTGGTCTGTCGCAGTTCCTGATTATCCTTCTTAAAGTTCAGTTGCTGTTTCAGACTATCCTTCTTAATGTCTCTGAAGTTCTGTCGCAGTTCCTGATTCTCTCTGAAGAGGCTCTGTGTAACGGATGTGTGACAGTGTCTGCTATGTGCTCAGGGATGTCTTTGCGAGGCAGTCTCACCTCACAACCAGTAGAGTGAAGTGGGCAATCTATTTCTGTGAGGGGACATTCATTTTTGACGTGTTTTTTCACATTCTGCCGTTCAAAAGGAATGTGTTGACATTTGTTAGGGCAGGTAACTGGATACTTGACACAATGAGGATAATGATAGATACTATCTATGTCAAGTGTATGCACTTACGGATGTTTATTGTCATGTGACCATCATGTGACTCTTACTTTCCTGTACTTTATTATCACATCATGCAGTAAAGAGTTTTAACTGAGTGTGGCATTTTTGTAAGAATTAATTGAACAATAATATTATAATAGCGCCTTTACTACTCGTAGTGCACCCATTGATCCATAAGCCAACCACAATGGTGCTATAATATAATAAACAATACAGTATGTGCAATTATAGTAATCTGTGCAGAGAAAAGCCAAAAATCAAATGCTGTCTCATGATACCCTCTCATACCTTAGACTACGGTAACACGCAATTGACCAATCAGATTCCGAGTTTAGAGGTAACTATTTTTGTTAGTTACCTCTTCCGCGGTAACTATTTCGCAGCCCTGCGGCACTTTCTTACGCGTATTGGCCATGGCAACCACGCCTTCAAATCGAGAGACGCCGTGCGAGCGGAAGGCAAACGGAGCTTCTGGAGAGGTTCTTTCTCACGAAAACCCAGGTACTCGGTCTTCTAGTAGGAAGCGGTGCATGACTACAGAGCCCTACTATACAGCTCGAGCCAGACGCGCACGCTAGCGGTGCGAGAAGCGCCCAGCGGCCCCGCCTACTTTCGCGTTAGCGAGCCGCGCCGCCTAGAACTACTGCCTTGCTGGTACCAGGTAGGTAGAGTCGTTGTTGTACGCCTGCTCGAAATGGCTGCTGGCCGCTGCAAATAGCCTGCCTACTTCCAGTTCGTCCTCTACATAATCTGACCCCAGTAAGCCATCCATCATCAATGCAGCGTGCGTTGCTAGCGCCTGCGCTGTAGTCTAAGATGGTTAGATGCGTCGCCTTGGGAACTACGCGATTTAGTGAGCCTCGGGGCCCTGGTAGTAGCGCCCTCGCTGCGCTCGGGACGCCGCCAGCCCAGGGCCTTCGGCTCACTAAATCGCGTAGTTCCCGCGGATCAGTATCTAACCTATACTTATACATGCACTATTTTATATAATCCGCAGCATTTCTTTATTTACTTGTCTCCTCTCATTTTTTCATGCTTGAGCACAGAGCTTCGTTGTCTTTGCGCACGCCTATAACCGCGCAACTCCAGCAGCGCATGCTCGGGCGTGCCCATGCTGTGCGGAAACAGTGAAGCGTGGACATGCGCGTAGCACTAGCAGCAGGGAATATTTTTGTCCAGGCTCAGATGGGCGTACCGCACCATTTTTAACCCGTCACGTCCTTAATTAAACAAATTTGCTGAGTGCGCAACTCTGTGTCGCAGTTCTACGCGCCTGGCGCCTGGAGCTTTTGCTTGAACGCGGTTGTAAGGATAATTCAAAATACATATAAGAGCAGAGGTGTGTTCAGCGATAGCTTTGTAAACAGAAGAGCATGTTTTGCACGTGTAGTCTTGTGTGTT